GCCCCGCCTGCCCCTCTCCCGGAACGCGGGGCCGGGGGGAGGCGGCCGGCGTTCGGGGCGCGCTCCGCACTTCAAAGCGGAGAGAGACGGCTCCAGGTTCCAGGAGCCGCCGCGTGGAGAGAGCGGCGGGAAGCGGGAGTCTCGGGCACTGAGGGGTCCTGGACGAGAGTGGAGGTCACGCTCGCGAGGACAGGAAAGGCCCGCCCTTCGGTGTGCCACGGGGCCTGGGTACGGCTGACCCGGTTGTGCACTGCTCAAGGGTGTAGCGTCTCCTCGGAGGCTCCGCGCGAGGCCTCCACGGGGAGTGGCTCGTGTGGGTGGCCGCGGTCCCGGCCCGCAGGGCAGGACGGACGTTCCCGAGGGAGCCGGGCCTTGGAGCCGCTGTTACCCAGACTGAGCGGCGGATGCGAAATCCGGGCCGAGCGCGGGTGGGGAAGGGCGGGGCGCGCATCTCGGAGTTGGACGCTGCGGGGCCGGAGCTCGGGCCCGGCGGTGGCTGGAGCTGAAATGCCTGGGTGGCGCAGATGATTCCCAGAGCCCCCTTAGGAGGATCACGTCCCCGAGAACGCACACGCGAGTGTGCACGTGCGCGCGTGCGTTTCCCCGCACCGGCTGCTGGAGTGTTTCAGGGGGTGTTCGCTGAGTGAATTTTCGTGACACCCAGGTTAGAACTGCTTTTGAACCTTGCCCTTTTCTTTACCCAGAGAACACCTACTCATCCTCCGAAGCTCATTGCAAAAGTCCCTCCCCCTGCCCCTGTCCCCTCCGCTCCAGCCCTGACGCCAGGAGCCTGGGAGAGTCGTGTCTGGCACTCTCCCCGGGCGTGGCCAAGGCCTCTGGGGTGGCGGGAGAGTATCCCCTGTCCTCCTCCCGGCCCCCCACAGACCTGACCCCAGAAGAGCACGGGGCTGCAGAGGCCCAGGGAGGTGGAGGCTGCAGGCAGCTTTGGAGGAGGCGCTCTGGAGAGCGGCAGGGCTCCCGAGGACCCCGAGCGCTGGCCTGCCCAGGCCGGCACAGCCGCTCCCCGCCCTGTTGTGCTTTGGGTTACTCCCGCCGGGAGATGGCCACGGTCTTCCTGAGGCAGGAAGTCGGGCAGAGGGTAAGAAGGTGTGAGGGAGGTTGGCATCAGGGGACACCGGGGCAGAGCCAAAGCCCGCTCCCAAGAGTGATGGAGACCAAGAAGAAAGACAAACAGGACAGCTGTGTGGTGGAGCTGTCCGAGGGGAGGCTGATGCAGGAGGGTTTGGGGAGGATACCAAGCGGCTGCTGCCCTGACCTGCCCTCAGAAGAGTCGCGCACAACCAGGAGATGCCAGCTGCACCCCAGTCCCGGCCCAGGCCAAGTCCCTTCCCCATCAGACACGCAAAAAACTCGACCCCCAACCGAAAGCCCTCGGGGCCTCTAGGAGGGCTCCTGGCCCCGCTTCCCTGCGTATCCAGCCTGCGGACGGGCGCCAGGCTCCGGGGCCGAGGTGCGAGGGTTGCAGCCTTTCCTAAGAATCGTTAAGGACCAAAGTCGTCTTCGCTGACAGCTGTTGCTTTTCTCTTCGCCTTTTCTTTTCTAAAGAGAAATCAAATTGACAGTGTCGGATGAGACCCGCCCTCGGCCGGGGCTCTGCTGACGTCACGGCCCTGTCCCCACCCCGCCCGCGCCCGCCGCCGCATGTGATTGCCCACGTGAACCCGCGCTGTCTGCTCTCCGCGGCCCTCTGTTCTTCCTGTCCTCCCTGCCCCTCCGGCCCAGCGTCCCGGAGACACTTATTTCCCTGTAAATACACGACTCGGGACACAAGTTCAGATCAAACGACAAGTGCTCATGAATGCATGGTGTTGAGATGTTTTGCACTACTCTGACTTTGACTTTTTGGTCTCTGTAAAAATATTTTATTAACAGCAGACATTAAAAAAAAAAAAATCCTCGGGTGCATGGTGACCTTGGAACCTCAGGGCCAGGCATAGCACTGCCCGCACTCAGGAGGCTGAGGCAGAAGGATCACCGAGAGGGCGAGGCCAGCCTGGGCTACCCAGCAAGACCCTATCTCAAAAAACAAAAACCCTCAGGCAGGCTCCAGACACTCTCCCGGCCCGCGGGCAGGTGCGGCAGGCCGGACAGTGGGCGCGGCTCTGAGTACCATCTCCTTCCTCCCACGCACGCGCGCGTCACCAGCATGACAGACGCACAGGAGTGGGTGCGGGGTGACGTCGGCCCCAGCCCAACCCCGGCCCTTTCCACTTGAGGCTGCGTAGCCCAGCTGTCTAAGGCCCCCCAACTGGGGACAGCCACACCCCAGAGCCTCGAGGGTGTTCTGCAGGCCAGGGGTATGGAGTCCCCCTGGCGCCCGGCCCCGTGGAACCAGCTGGTGTTTCAGGGTTGGCACCTGAGGCCGGGCGGGCTTTGCAAGGCTGGCCCTGGATGGATGAGCTCTCCGGTGGACCTGGCTGCGCCCTGTGCCTGGGCCAGGAACCTGCAATCTGTGGCTCCTTAGGACAGGAGAAACAAGCAGATGGTGGTGCATGCCTAGAATCCCAGCACTCTGGGAGGCTGAGGCAGGAGGATCGTTGCAAGTTTGAGGCCAGTCTGGGCTACAAAGTGAGCTCAAGGCCAGCCTGAACTGCATAGTGAGACCCTGTCTCAAAAAAAAAGGGGGCTAGGAATGCAGCTCAGTGGGAAGGCCCTGGGCTCAGTCCCCAGTACTGACAGGAAAAATGAAGAGAAAGGCCAGAACTGGGTAACTGGTAGGGACATTCCCAGTAGAATCCAACTCCAGGACTCCAAGCTGCCATCCCTCTTCTGTCTGGGAACAGGGGCTGAGCTGTTTGGCGTTTTGTTTCCAGTGCCAGGGATGGAACCCAGGGCTCTCCGGAGCCACACCCGGCCTGACAGTTCCGGTCAGCGCTCCGTACCTGCGACCTCCACATCCAACCAGCTGCGGGAGGAAAATGACCACCGGAGATCTTGGGTCTGCAGGGAGCATACGTGCACTTCTTTCCATTACCGGCATCAGGCACCCCTTAGTTCCCGCCTTCACACTGAGCCGCATTCCCAGCCCTTTGTATTTTTTGTTTTGAGGCGAGTCTTTCGAAGTTGCCCAGGCTGAACTCAAACTTGAGGCTTTCCTGCCTCAGCCTCCCAGAGCTCTGGGATGACAAGTATGCATCTCCCCTTTTATCTGGTACCCTAAATCATTTAGAGATGTGCAAGTCCTACTCCACTGTGTAGGTTTTGGTGCTCACAGGGGGAGTCCCGGAAGCGATTTGAAGGTCCCCAGCATCCTTCTGGCGGGCACTCCTGTCGCCGAGGGCGTGCGGTGCGTTTGGCTTTGTGGGCTTGCTCAGCTGGCGTCCTGCCTCTGTCCACTCTGCTCACCTGTGTGGGTCTGCAAGGAGCGGTGGGTCCGGCCCCGTGCATAGCGGGGCTGAAGCGCCCCAGAAGCCAGAGCACTGGACTCCAGAACCGCAGAGGTGCCCCGGCGCGCGAGGCCCCACAGCCACCCCATGGGGGCTGAGGTCACGGGGCACTGCCCTGCTGGCTCGGCTCCCTCCCTGCGAGGCTCTGGGGTCCCCCTCACAAGGCCTCAGCCTGGGGTGCCTCTGGGGACCAAGCCCCAGCGCCTGGGCCGCAGCGCCGGGGACAGCTCTGCCCTCGCTGGTCTCACGCACCGCCGCAGGCTTCTGCTGTTAGCAGGGTCTTCGCATCGAGTTGCAACCCCAGCGCTCTTTTGCTTTTTATTTTGCAACAAGGTCTCATAAACGGCCCGACTGGGCTCCCGCTGGGGACCCCGGACTCGGCCTTCCGAGCAGCCGGAGGCAGGCACCCGCGGCCGGCTCCGTGTCGCCTCAGCTGCGCCGAAGAAGGGGGTGCCGGTGTTTGGCAACAAGCAAAACTACAGACGGGCCGGGGAGGTAGCTCGGCGGCACAGCGCCTGCCTGGGAAGCGCAAGGTCCTGAGTTCGATTCCGGATACAAAAAAAACGAAAACAGAAAACACAGACGTCAGTGAAAACCAACCAGAACATTTAATACAAAAATAAGCAGGTCCCGGGCCCGCCGTCTCCACGCTGACGCTCGCTCCGCGGGAAGGACGGCCGCCCCGGGCCCCCCACGCGACCCC